TTTTCGCTTTTCTCTGTAGCTGTCGCAGTTCCAACCCATTTTTGTGTCGCTTGTCACCATTTCTGCTCCATTGTCGCAGTCGAAAGGCTATGTCGATTGTCAGAATTTACCCTAACAGGGTTCCTGCCCTAACAGGACCTTTCCCAGGGACAAACAAAAATGACCGTATCATAAAAACGTCAAATCACTTAATTGTGTCAATCAAGTTACATGTAGACCTAGATGTTGGAAATGTTGGGTACATCGTATCACTCTTCGTAATTTTGGTTGCCGTATCATAAACAGTTTTATAGTTCATGTTCGGCCGTTATCTATAGAAAACGAAGCGCTTTTGAAGTGAAATTTTATTTGTCTTTAAAAACGTGAGTGAAAGCGCGAACGATGTAGAAAGAAGGATTTGATTAGTATGTACTGAGGCGCTCTCTTTTGTAAACATTTTTGGTCTTCTTAAACAAATAAGCGAATAATTTTGAAACCGCTCGATGGATTTTATTAACAATTTCAGATTCTCGAGATTAACCTCTTCTTGTATGACCCTTAAGTTTCAAGATTAGTAAAAGAAGACAGTAAAATACGAAGGGCTGCGGCGACCCCAAAGGCTTGACGCGTTTCAGACTGGGCCTCCTTTTCTCCTCCTCGATCAAGAAGACAAAAGGAGGCTCTGATCGTCGAGTGGAGTCCTCATGATACGAGACATGATTTTTTTTTGTTACCATGTAAACTCTTTTCTAAGTTTGGGCGGCCCATCTTCTGTCTCTGGTACAGTCGACTCTGTCTTAACGGAATTTTCTATAAGGAGGGTATCTCAGTGAAACGGACATCTACGGATGGTCCTTTCCTTTCTCTGATCCCTTTATTTGACTGTTTATAAGACGGACACTCAGTGTACGCCCCAAAGGTGTTCCTCTTAGAAAACGTTGACTACATGCCTGATGCTCCTACTAGTGTTAATCGTGTTTTGCTGTTGTTGTTGTTGTTTCCTTTGTACTACATTTTTGAACCTGCATGGTTAGGAGAAGCTTCTATACGTGAATGATAATACGCTGTTTAGTGACCAGCTAGGAGAATGCATTTTTAAATCTGCCCAGACTTGTTGTCTCGACTAGCAGCTTATACCTCACATTCGATAATTAACGTTAAAGGTCTGGATAGGTATAAACCACTTAGCAAATAAGGAGGAAATGCCTTTTGAGTGTCTCGGCGTATCGTCTTATAAGGAAGTAAATGTGTTGAGATACTGATCAATTACCCTTATAAAAGAAAGTTGCCCGAAAAGATAAATTTAGCCCACCTAAATAACGTAAGCCGGCCATCTCTTCACTCTCGTTTTTCGCTCTAACAGGTTTTCGTTATCGTTATGGGACTTCACATTTTATTTTCACTTTAATAAGTGTTAGACACTTAGGCGACCTGAAAACAGCATAAGAGAGCTTTAGCAGTGTTGTCATAAGTCAAATGTTTTCTCTGGTCGCGCATAAAACTTGCATACAACATACATGACCTAAAATAAAGGATCAATAAGACCATTTAAATGTGAAAAACAACTGTTTGAGTTAGTTTTCTAATTTTCAGGTCTCCTCTGCTAATTCTTGGGAGCGTGATTCCTTCAGTCTAAAGACTGCTTAATCGTCGATTAAGCGGTATTAAGATGTACCGCGGTCAAAAAAGCTGTAGAATGAAAAGATCTTGTCAAATTAAGTCTAACCGGGAAAATAAAATGATTTACTCCTGAGTTTTACTTTTTACTACATGTGTGGCTAGATTCTCCGAATATCGTGTACACAGGTTGGATTGAAAAGTCTGAAACTGGATTTCCAATGTATGCAAGGTTAGCTGTAAGATGTTAACGCCTACATATGTTTTAATTTAAAGCCTGACAGTGTGAGGTTTATTCACTTGACATGCGGACGTTGGAATGCAGGGTTTCACTAAGGGGGGTAGCCTGCGTAGCAGGTGTTAAAAGGGGAAGGGGAAGCAGGAATTCTGGCGCGCGAGGATGTTGAAAACGGGAACCTTTTCCCCTCTTTTCCCATTTTTGCCCCTCCTCGCGCGCCCCTTTGCGCTCTGACGCACCCAATTCCCGCGTTCTCCTTTCCCTTTTAAAGCTGCCACGCAGGCTACACGTAGCGGATTAAGCCCTTCTACTGTTAAGTGGTTTCTAAAAGGTTGCGGTTGTGTACATTGGCTTGCACCTCACACAAACTGCAAGCAAATGTGACGACATGAAGAAAATATGATATCGAGGGTCAACCTTTGGAAAGTGTTAATGTGAAGATTTAGGACTGTTTACTGCTGGTGACTTCTCATGGAACCAACAAGTTGATAACTAATAACTGCTTAGGCTGATGGGGTTTTAGGGTTGGTTCAAAGGACCTGCAGGGACTTGAAGGACATTGATACTATGGAAACACTTTACCGTAGTCTTGTGAGACCTTTATTAGAATATTCATGGGAAACTTGGAAGCCTCATGCTAAACGTAACATTGATAAACTAGAGGCTGTACAGCGAAGAGCCACCAGATGGATTACCAAGTCTGATGATGATTATGATACTATACTATCTAAGTTAAAATTGTTGTCATTATTTAATAGGAGGTTCATTTGAGATGTTACGTAATTGATGGACATTATGATATAGGCATATCAAACAAGCTCATATTTTGTAAGGACAGAAACACAGGTTATAACTTGTAATGGGGAAAAATGACACACAGGACCTTGATTATAGCCATTGACTTATTATGTGTTCTAAAATTGGTTAAAGATATCAACAAGCGGAATAAAAACTGCTGCCACTGCTCCATTGAGCACGGTGAATAAAGATTTAAAAGAGGATTAACTTCTGTACTTCTTACTTTGGCTTGCACCCAAAAATGCGAGAACATTTGTCTTCAATCTGGATTTTGTGTGTGGGTTTGTTTATTGTGCTCTCTGATTTCGCAAAAAAAAAAAATGTCGGTCCAGTTAGATTCTTCTAATTTCGTGTGGGAGAAAAGTCTAAAGTGACAGAGGGACGGCAAACGCCAAATTCAAGTTGAGAATTTCTCAAAACAGAAGGTGAGCGGATAAAAACAGCTCACAACAATTCTAATTAATCGAATGGATAGAAAATTGCATGAAAATACCAACATTTGTGTAGATATAATGAACAGTAAACGACAAGTAAAGGGGAAACTTAGTCACGTGGTACAAATTCGCGTTTGCCGTTTGACGTAAACGTTATGTTTAACCTCTCTTAAAACTTACTAGTGGATTTTAGGGAGCACTAACATCCCGGAATATCCGATACTCGCAAAGGCGGTTTTAGCTTTGACTGAGAAGACGTTATCGCTTATTTTGCTAACTTATTTTGTTAAGTTTGACTGCGGTGCTTGCAGTTCACTCATTTGATATGCGGAAGTTCAAAGTAGAATGCCATGGAATGTAGGATCAGGGGGTTTATTCTAAGTAAGCCTTTCTACTTTTAAGTGCACGTGGTTTCAAAAAGGTTTCGGTTGTGTGCATTGGCTTACACCTGATACAGACTGCACGCAAATATGACGTATCCCTCTAAGAACACAAAAAAAAACCTGAACTAATGTTAGCTGCTTGTACTTAATGACTGTTTTAGATCTCCTTCTATAACGTCGGAAAATCAGATGCACGTTTCTTACTATGGACTATAGGCTTATCCTTTACTGACTGTTTCAATGCCGCAGAAAGAATACTTCCTGAATGTTCCATGAAAGGGATTGCGTGCGGCATGCGGACGTTTTCTAAACATAATCCATGCATACTTACCACGGATCATCACCAAAAACCCTTAACATTTATTTGGCTTTCGGAAAGAAGTGACAGTTTTCTAAAAGAATTATCATCACTGAATCAAAGCAAGTTAAACCACGAAACAACGACTGCGTTCGCAATGATTGCATTGAATGACCAAGAAAAGAGTTGAGGGTTTATCTAATAACAGTTTCCAGGATCCACTGGGTTTCTTCCTTTCAGGAAACGTAGTGCATGTGTGGGTGGTGATAAAGTCTTTTAAGACTCATTACGTGGAATACCGCATGCATATAGAAAGAATAAAATTAGCTTCCCTTTGCCAAGAGGGTCATATCTCAAGTTTGACCGGCTAAACTGCCCCTATGCAGGGTAAACAACTAGAGTTTTGGCAACAAACTTTAGATAAACGTTGCTCTTACAAATACCTACAATTACTGTTAATTGTAGGAATATTTTTAAGCTGCTTCAGAAGGAGTTGTTCTTAAAATATTTTGATAAACTATTTCCACTTACACGGCTGTCTCTCGCACTGCACTCTGGGACCGAAGCGACAATTCTTTTGTTGAGCTCCTGAAAGCGTGCCTTTGTCTCTTAAATTTACATAGTATATGAAATCAATAAAAATTAGGCAAAGTGCCGGACAGCGTGATTCTAACAGTGTGCCCCGAGCTTCATAAGACAGTCGGTTTTCATTAGTTTGAATCTAGTGATGAAATACTTGGCAGAAGTCACTGTTCGCGAGTCCTTTTGTTCTTCTTGTTAATATGCAAGACATGAAATTCGCTCTATTAAAACATAACATATGATTAAGTACACGGCTACTTAAAGTTGTCATACTGTGAAAAGCCAAATAAAATATTGTTTTTGAATATGATCGACTACCAAACGTCGGTTTAACGTCTCAACAACAACCCTATTCAAGACTCAGACTCCAACACAACCCAGACGATCACATTCCACCTACGTTTGAAATGACTCCTCGGCTCAAACCATCAACTGTAAAAAAGAATTTAAAATTTGCATCATATTGCACTTTCACTACCCAATCAGCTTGTTTTTACTTGTTAAGAGGATTTGGTGTACATGGCTGACTTGTCAAATATGAGCCGAGGAAACGTTTGTACCGCTATAAAGCAACTCATCCAGATGTCGACAGGTCATTGCATCTAGGTCTAGCAGCCAGATGGACCTCAGAAAATTTGCTCCTTTTGTCTTTCTCCTAAACCTGGGGATTCTCACTCTAACTGTAAAAGGTATGCCACTCTTCTTTTCATCGTAGGCTGTTGCAATCGGCATTTGTACGTTCTTATACCTAACAAAAGGCAAATATTACTTTTTTTCTTGTAACATAGTTGAAAATTGCTAAAATTTCATCTCCTGAAAAGCAATTCATCTCGGTCGAAGACTTTTTATTTTGTTCCTTATTTTTTAAGGAACACGGCATGTACTTATTTAGACCTCATATAAAGACAGAAGATCTGACAGCTAATATTTTTGAATTTCTTAGTTCTTCTGATTTACAGCTTTGGGGAACACAACAAGCCCCTCCCTCTCGTTTAAGTGACTAACTCAGTGCTCGAGCTTGCGACTAGAGTATTAAGGTCAAAGTCTCTGATCGATGAATTTTTCCATCTCATTTAATGTGCCAGTTTCTATACATCCCACGATCTCGAGAAAATGATTATATTACAAAGTTTTCGATGGACTAATTTGTTTGTTGTAACTCGGTTCTCCAAAATAGCACAGTCTGTTCCCGTCAGCGGCCTACCACTTGGATTGAAGGAAAACGAAACAAAATTGTAAACACAGACAGGTGATCGATTCTTGATACGATATTTCATATCCCCAGAAGACCTACAGTTTGAAGATTTCAAATCTAGAACATAAGATTTTGACGGTGGGGTGAGAGCTCTGAAATTAAACCTGCCCCTTACACTCCACGCCCACATTCTGATGCAACGCGAAAGTTTTAATCCATTTCAAACTTTTGACGGCCAAAGTGATATCTGGCAGTTCATCAACCCATCTTTTACAGAAAACCTTAAAAGAGTTTTTATTCTTTGATTTTCCTATTTTGGAATCAGTCATTTCCGCACTTCTACCGACGTTCATATTTCCTAATCCGTGCAGCTCTGTTTTAATCCAATCAGAGATAACTGTCATTCGCGGACTACCCTTTTGGTGCAAGGAACCGAGCTTACTCTACACATTGCGTGTGCGCGCGTAGCAAAACGGTAATTTGATTAATCTAGATATTTAGATTTGCTCTCAACAAGTGGAGTAACTGAACATGAACGAAAAAGGAGCTAGGGGAGATAAAATTGGACTTAAAACAAATCTAAAGAGAGTTATTGCAGTAGCTATTCTCCGAGTTTGCCATTTGGACCGCCGCGATCTTTATCAAATATTGTCCAAATCAAGAGTTAAACATTGAAATATGATAAAGGTAAAGCAAAAACAATATAAAAACTAGATGATATTAAAATTTGCATAAGGATACTTACCTCCAAGACGAGAATGCTCTTGTATAGAGCTGACCAGATATGCCATTCACCAAATTGTTCAGTACAATTCCAGAAAAGCATGTTAAGCAATTGGGGGGGGGGGGGGGGGGGGGGGGGGGGGGAGGGTGTCCAAGGAAATCGGTGGTTCAGTCCGCCCGCCAGTATGACGTCACGTCTCGCGTCGGTGACTTTTAAAATGGCGAGCAAAGTGTTCATCAAAGAGACAGATAAAAATTTTTAATTTATCACGGAAATACTGTTCCGATTTCTTGGATTTGGAGATTTTAAGGTCCCTCTTGTCATAGAAAACTAGACTTTAGTACTTTTTTGGAATGAAACGTCTACTGGTGTAATAAATTGTAAAGATTCCTTTCTATCGTTGAACAAATTTTACGGGCAATCATACCGACCGGCCACACTTTTGAGGGCCAGTGCATAGCAAGATTGAGGAATTTAGACACAGCAGTAGGAGGTTCATCAAAGGATTTATTATACTTTACATTATGCGTATTTTCAGCTCTTCAGAGCTAGTGGAGCCCCATATCAATCAGTTTCAAAGTTCGCTTAGCTGTAGCGTTGAAAGAGGAAGCTGCATGACAGATATTTGTGAGAGACTGTGAGCATTGAATCTTGTTGCTTTAACATATTTTAATACTGTACTGTAATTCTGTAATTAAATCCCGAAAACCAATGGTTTCCTTTAATTATTTTTTGGGGGCAAACCCAGTGGAGATTTTAGGGTAATAATATTGATGATTAAGCCGATGTACAAAAGGCAGGTTTAAATTTCGCCAGTGGATCACTGGTGGGTGTTTGGTGTAAACTAGTACAGTCTTGTGGTGTACTGTGTGTTGTTTGTCATGATGTCAACTAACATTGAAAAAAATTCAGCTGTTTGAGAGGAGAGGGGACATAAGTTGACAGCTTGTGGTTTTTTGTGGCCGTAAGCTTGGCAAGTATGCAGATCAAGAACTTTTGAAATTCCTTTTCCAAAATAATACTCTGGACTTAAGCTTAAAATATATATTGATCCAAGTGCATGACCAGCAGGTTCCGCAGTAAGAATAAAGAAAAACAGGCGAAAAGGAAAAACCAAGACTAAACAGAAAAAAAAATAAAAACGGTACAAACAAACAGAAAACAGCGTCGCCAGGAGTCGAACCCGGTTTATCTGCACGTGCAAGCAACTCCTTGACCACTGCACCACAGTGACACATATGTTTTGGAATCCATTTTTTAGTCTAACATAGACGCTGTTTCAAGCTGGTGGAGCTGTATTTATCATGACTTCAAACATACATTAATTTGAGGAAAATTAGCTTAAGCGCGTATTTCGAAGCTATTTCGCATTATTTCGGGTTCAACACCGGCCGACCCGATGTAGATAATCGATCGAACTAGCTTTACTGAGTTTGGTGGAGAATTAGTAGATGAACAGAGGCCCACACTCGAAAGGATTGATATGAAGCAACGGAACCTCCTATTCTGGAGACTAGACCTTGTCTATATCAGAGAAAAAAAAGATTTAAGTTTTGATGACCTTGCCGGTCCCATGAAAAAGACGGCGATCCCACAAACGGCCCGCAAAACAGATTAACAAAATTATACAATTACGGACACAAAATATCAAAACGGTTTACACAAGCAGATTATAGCAACACCAAAGCTCACACACATTCGTTCAAATTAGCGATATATAGCGATATCTGATAGCTTAGCTTTTCCTCGACCTCGCTCATCCTAATAACTGTCGTATCCCTTGCTAATTTGGACAAGCGACCCGAGGCTCTTGCCCGTTACTATGTGATGTCATACTGGCAGGCAGAGTGGGTCAAGAAACTTAGGAATAAAACAATAGAGTTACCTCCCCTCCCCACATGATGTTGAGTCTGTATATATAAACTTCTTCTTCCTAAATTTTCTCCACATAACGAAAAGGCAAAGATTTCACACCTCGCCTGGAAATGAAAAGTGAAAAAATGCTAGGCTACGTTTTTTAAGCGCATATTTCTTTTCCCTATGACGCCAAAGTAGAGTCGCTTATTACCCTCTAGACTCGATCCGTAGGCCAAGTTAAGTTTTTGCAGCGCTATTTAAATGAAAAGAAAAGTCACAATATCCTTGCAAAAGAACAGCTTTTGGTGACATTTCTTTCAAACTGAACTTCACTAAATGAAGAAGAATTAATTTTCTGTCTTCACATTTTAATAACACGCGAAAGCTACTTATCTCTCCTCAACTTTCAAATAAACACAGACACACCCCTAGCCGCTCTTCATTTCTTTTCAAGCAACACTCCATCTCGTTCCATCCCATACCTACACTACATTAAGACATTTTTTTCTATTTTACAGGCATTTCCTATCAGGTTGGAAAACTGAACGCATCAGAGACACGTCAAGAATGGAATTGCAACAGCGGATGTGAGGCGCCACAACATTGTACACTGCCACGCTGCACTAACGTGGTATTTCCTCAAGCGTTTAGTGGATCTGGAACAGTAAGTAAACCCTAAGCAATTAAAAATTACCGTATTTCTTCAAATAATCGCCTCGAGCGATTATTCGAGGGAGGCGATTATTTCAACTATTGGTCACTGGAAGTCGATCCCTAAATATTTTATTTTGTTACCCGTTAAATAAAAATAAAGAAATAATCACATCAAAATATACTAAACATGGGCTTTATAAGTTTTCAAAAAATAGTTCCTTGTCAGGAGCAATCCTGTTCCTTGGTTATTTTTCAATTTCAATATCCTTGGCGTTAGAGCTTGAATCGTCACTGATCAGTTTTGCTGGATGAGATTCCACTTCAGCTTTGTTTGTTTTTTAACTCGACAGGGAGGTGGTAAAGAAAGAGAAGATAGCGAGAAGGGTGGGGGTTAGGGGCGATTATTTGAGGGGGGGCGATTAATCGAGGGATGACTATTTTTCGAGGAAATGCGGTAGTCTAATCTTAAGGGTTGGTGGCAACTTTCTTTTGTTAGCAGAACACAATAAGCTTCTTTAGAAACTAATGTTTTTAACAAATTTTGATTTGCCAGCATTGTCGCCTTTGTAATGTTATGACCTCAGACAATTTAGTGCGCATAGGTGTTCTCAAGTACTCCCTAATCCCTAGGATGCGAGTGTTTTCAAACAAAACAAAACAAGGCGAAACAAAAAAGCCAGAGAATTCTGACAATAAAAATAGGCTAGAATATCTTTAATCCTTGGAATGGGGCCGGGAATGGAGGGTTGAATTAGATCCTCTTTTTCTTCAGATTTAGTGTGAGGAGTGCACGCGCGCACGAGCGTTGAAACCACCAGACGCACGCGAGAAACGAGAGCGGCAGTCTCGCCCCTTCAGTCGCGCGTGGTCATTTTCGTTTCTCGCGCGTTTCGCACGACAGACAGATCAACATTCCGGAATATCCCTAAATTTAAGGACAGGGCCAAATGGTCACGCGACACTGTTCAACCAAGTAGATGGTGGGCTTGTGTTTATCAAAACATCGACCAAGTGATCAAAAATTTTCACAACAGCGCACGGAGTCGTACAGATTTTAAGATAAGCTTACAATACTCGGCTAGGTTTCACATTATTTCAAAGAAAACATTTGATGTAAGAGAATAAGAGTGTTATTCATCGCAAGGAATCATTGGGGTGTTCGAACTGATTCTGGACCGATCGCAGAGGTCGTGGCTTCACTGACTTGGCTTGCAAGATTTTTGATAGAAGCAAACTTGAAAATTTGTTGAGATCGTACGAAACAGGAATGGTACTACCTATTAACTTCTACAGGACAAGAATCAAAGAACCAGTTATCATAACAAGAATAAAAAGTAGTTCAAATTTATTAATTTTCCTTGTTTGTTTTTTGTGTTGTTTTGTGTTGACTTCACGCATCTGGTGCTTTCTTTGCTTGTTGTCGTACCTGCAATGTTTTTATTTTATCCCAGATAATCAGTGCGTGTTTAATGTGTAGCGAACTACATCATTTACAGTTGAAATTTGTCTTCTTTCTTTGATTTTTTTAACTGTGGATGAACATTTGGAGAATCCAACAATAATAAATCTCTCCTGATTTGGTGAATTACAGAAACAAAGCGGTTAATAACTACCTTGCGGTTATGATTTTTAATTTTATCCCCGCAAATTCGGCAAAGTGAGACGAGATGCATGTTGGACGTGAATATCCATAAGACTAATAAGGTTGTTTTGGCCTTGAAAAGAAAAAAGGCAAAGGCTGGAATTAATGCGAAGAAAATTAATAACACGGCTCTGCCATGTCTGCGTGAAACCTGGGAGTGGAACACGTTCGATCTCACGTATCAAGGACAATTTCTCACATCTGACTCTCAAATCCGGACAAATTGTTCTCAACACATCATGACTTTGTGTCCTTTTTTGTGTTCTAACGAAATCATATCAAAGCACGCTAAAAGTGTCGTCTTTTAAGTACCTTCGAAAGTGCTCAAACGTCAGGTCTTCCGGAACCTCTGCGGACATTTAACTTTCGGCAACGTTCGCAAGTCTTCGGTAATTCGTCGGAAATCTTTGGAAGTCGCCGGGACGTTTCGTGAAATCTTGGTTATGACAAGGTGAAAATCTCACGTATTTGACTCAGAAAAAGCTGGCAGGTATAACATTGGGACGTAGATCGTAAGAAGACCAAGA